GCTCTTCCTTCTGTATCAGGATGTATGTTTCGGCTTTTTTCCTTGTGCTTTGTCTTTTGTGAGTGACAGCTTGGCTTAAGTAATGGGAAAGAAAACTATTCAATAGAACTGGTATTTTCTGTCCTCACCAAAAAAAAAAATTAAAGAATCTTAGCAGTACTATCATATACACCATTCAAGTAACTGTTCTACGTGCTAGTTTTTGAATGTGTGAGAGAGAATGGGATGTAACTACCTCTGAAAACATTCTCTCTTGAGTCCTGAGCATTGCGCTTTCTCACATCAGGGTGCCCTGCAAAGTGGCGTCATCAGCCTGATGAGCAGGCTTCGTATTTGAGGAAAAGACTCGAGTGATTCAGAATGGGAGCTGCCCAGGGACCAGCGGGGTGGCTGGGGGACTGTTAACTTGGTCAGTGAAGGGATTAACAAGCATGCCTTGTGCTAGCACGCTTCCCTTCTGTGGAGCTTCAGTGCCTTTGTCAGTGCTACTCTGTCACCTTGTCCTCCTCCCTGGTCTTGACCCTTCCCCAGGAGGAAAGTGCTTATTAGCTCTTTAATTTGAAATAGTGCCTGTCTCCTGAAAAACATACTGACTGCTCATCCTCATCAGCCTTGTTACAGGAAGGAAAGAGATTTCCACCAGCCGTGTGTGTACATAGGCAAACTGTTGAAAGCCAGGGACCTGGTGTTTAGACAGCCCTACCAAGAAGGTATTGGCTTGAGCTGGGATAAAACTGTGGAACATTCCCCCTCCTTTAAAAAAATAAAAGCTCCAATATCGCTGAGGAGTTTTTGAGGAAGGTAAACTTTGGTGTGCAGAGGAAAGGCAATAGCCCAAAGCCCTGTGGAAGGGTGGTTCAGAATGAGAGCAGCAAATAAATGAATTGCTGAAACGCCATCTGGCCAGTCACAAAAATTACTTTCTGTGCGTCCAAAAATATACTTAAAGAGCAGGTAAGACATTTGGAAAAGGTGGTTATTCTCCCTGGTCAATGCGGACTTGCACAAAAGGTGTGACTGGGACATTATTAGTTGAGTAACTTTATACCATTTCATCATTGTTCTAGGAGTTCGTGTATTCACTCTCTGGCTGCAGAAGGAGATTGCCGGTTCACTCCCTTCCCCTCTGTGAAAGTGTCTGTGGCACAGGTTGCCCAGAGAAGTTGTGGCTGCCCCGTCCCTGGCAGTGTTCAAGGACAGGCTGGATGGGGCTTTGATCAACCTGGTCTAGTTAGATTTTCCTACATAAAGATAGCTTCTTACAATTACGTGGGAGAACAAAACAGGGATGCATCCCATTCCAGCCCCTGCGCAATTCAGTATTAAGGAGCAAAAGGTATACAGAGGGTAAAGTCCAGGAGTGTGGGAGACAAAATACTGTCTCACTTTGAAGACTTGTTAGGGACCAATCCTTTCCAGGTGTCATGCAGAGGGTGTTTTTTCTCAAGCTGGGTATTGAATTAACCAATGTAATTTGACAGCAAAAAGCTGTCACTAGATGTAGATGGTAACAGGTCAGTACCTTGGTGTGGGAGTAGGCTGTTCCCAGTGTTAAGCGCTACCTAGGGGAGCCTAAACAGTCACTATTAAAACATGCAATTGCCCAGGAAAATTTAAAACCCCTTTCTGAAGGTGTTTGAATTCTTCCAGCCTCTCTGTCAGCCTGCTTCAACACTATACATTTATGTACTTTGATCTTAATTTTCATTCATTTGATTTCTTTTGATGCATTAGGGTACAAACAAATCTTATTTTGTGATTGTCAAAACTAGATGAAGTTTTATAGGCTGTAGATGTTATTTACAAGATAAATGCATTGGCTGTTTGGAAGTCAAGCAGAACTATATCGAAAAGCTCCACTTGCCTTCTGATGCTAGATGTTTTGAATATGGATAATATGCCCTGTCGTCCTAGGGCAAACTCATATCTTAAAGAATTAGTTGAAAGCAGTCCTGTGAGTTATCTCATTGAGTGTTTATCTTGCAGGTAAAGCGAATGATCTAAGTGACTGAATACAGTAAGAGCTGCTGCCTTGCTAATGCAGTGTTGAAGCCTGTCAGCCTCACTGTAATCATGACCTTGACATCAGCTGAGTTAGAGGTGGCCCACATCTGCTTGAAATGTTTGTAATTTTAGAAGTGTTTTCAAATGTCACTGGCAAGAGAAGGTTCAGAAACAACATGTCTGTAGGGCTGTGTAGTATTTCATTTTGAAAGCAAGCCCACGAGTCTAACGTGACCTGTGAGTTACTCGTATAATGTGCTTATGTCACTGAACTTAACAGTCATCCTTCTCACAGTACTTGATATGACTGTTTTCATAACTACGCTGAATTATTATTTGTCTTAGAACTTTGGTATCCATGGGAGCATCTGTAGGAGCAGTAACAAAACAGACCCTGTTCCCTCCTCTCATGCCTGCGGGGCGACCTTTCCGTGTGTCCAATGCCTCCCGAAGCAGCCGGAAAGGAATTGTTGCAAGCAGTCTGCAAGAGCTCATCAGCAAGGTATAGCAAACACTCCTGCTCTGACTGAATCTGATAGTGAAGATAATGTAAGCTGCTGACTGAAACTTACAGTATCCCAGAAAGGCAACTCACAGTTCTTCTAAAAATCATTACTGGGGAAGTTCAGGAGAATGTGTCAAGTAAGCAGGTGTTAATATGAAGTGATGGGCCCTCTTTTGAATGCTAAAATCTACTGGTTTTTTGTGCAGACTTTAGATGCCTTCCTTATATCTGCGGGAATAGTTACTCTGGTTCTGGAGGAAGATGGCACGGTTGTGGACACAGAAGAGTTCTTCAAGTCCCTGGATGATAATACACACTTCATGGTTCTAGAAGAAGGACAGAAATGGACACCAGTAAGTGTTGACTGCTACTCTCACTTGAATAGAAGTGGATGGAAGAATGTTTGTGGCTGCTAAAATTGTTGGAAAGAGGGGACAAGAGGAGGAAAACTTCCCCTAAAGAAGGCAAGGTATCAACTCCTTGTTGAGCCTTTCTGCATGACAAATTGTTAGGTTTTTTTTTTTATCCTTTGCTTTGTCATAGAACTGTTGGCAAAGATCTGCCCAGAATTTAAGTGAAATATTACAACTGAAAAGAATTATAGGAGACATCCTCTGCTTTTGGAGAGTCTCAGGTAGAATGTTGTTCCTGAGCCTTTTTGTGATGTAACATTGGGACTTTGACTGCATGAAGTTGAAAATACAGTGTCTTTAAAGGTTTTTAAAGGTTGGTTTGTTTTAAAAGCTTTTAGAGGGGAAAAAATTACCAAATTAAGCAAAGTAAAACAAGTTTTGAATTGTGAGTGCAGTAATGGTTTAGTGAAGGTTAGAAAAATGTCTGAGTTTAGTCTTGCAAACAGCTAAAAGTTGTCATCAAAACCTAATGTTAGTCTACATACTTCAAGATATTTTAAGAAATATTAAGATTGGCTAGCTTTAGCCTTCTGATATCAACTCAGTATCCAATTTGTGATTTTGTGCGAGAATAGTCATCTGTATGTTACCGAAATGGAGTCAAACTCCGAATTGTCTTTCCATGAAATGGTTGTTGCTAGAAAGCTGGCATCAAAATTTCTGCTACCAGGTGCTGAACTAGCTGAGGAGCTGTAAGCAGGCCTGTTGTTTTTCTGTTTGTACACGGATGGCTCAGTCATGTGGCTTCGTTTTCCTGGTCTCTTGTTGCAGTGTGAGCAGTTTGTGCCTTTTTCCCCAAGATACCTCACTGGCTTAGCCCGCTGCATCTGGGCCATGAGTGCCAAGAGCAGAAGAGAAGATGCAGCCAGGGTTTGATTCCACCTTGCTCCTTTCCACCTGCCTTGTGCCCCGTCTGGCTTGGCAGCAGAACAAGTTTGAATGCTGCCCCTCTTCAGGATGTCCTGAATGACAGCAGAAGGACTGCTGCAGCTTCACAAATCATTTGGCGTGTGGCACAAGCTCTGCCATGCTTTATCCAAGTATTCTGGGTGCTAGTGAGGGGAAGATATGCTGCGAAGTGTACCAACTACTTGTACATGTCCAAAACTGTTGTTGGTAGCAGGCCCTGTTGCTGGAGCTGGGAGGCTATTGAAGTAAAACAGGCATAAAATTGCTGGCTAATGATGTACTACAGTGTTTAATTTGGTCTGACTTACCATGGCACTGTCTGAGCGCTGGGGTGAGAAGTACAAAAAGGCCCAGTCTTACACAACTTTATTACTTCATTTAGGATGCAAGAACCATCTTGGCACCTGCCAAGCCATTAAGCTGGGGCTGCGTGTGCTGAGCAGTGTCCCCTGTTCCAGTAGATGGCTCTGCAGTTATGGGTCTTCACCACTATTTGCCTTTTTTTTTTTTTTCTTTTCTGCCCTTGAAGCGGGTGATCCTGAAAGCATTACTGTCAGCCCTGAAGCAGACAAGGACTGCTGTGAATAAAGCAGGATGGATTTAAGGTGGAAAATGACTTTCCATGCTCTTCCTCCTTTGCTTTTTCTCTTAAAAACTCAGTATTAAATCATCAGCCTAATCAGTAGTGGTTCTCTCCACGTGTTACTTTTTTTAGTAGGAAGAAAGAGAGGTGTGTTATGAGCCAGGATTTGAAATGAGGACCTGCTTTTCACAGATGCCATCTTCGCAGCTATCTGAGTGCTCATCAGTATTGTGTTCCTTCCTAAATGGAAGGACCAAATGTCATCCTGGTGATTTGGTGGCCTCTTTCAGTGTGGACTAACTGTGCTGCCTCAGCTAGCAGCTGGAAGGTACCAGGATAATTAAATGGCAGGAACACTGTCCAGTGGCATTGTCTGTGGCTTTGGTATACCCTGAAGAAGCATATTACAGGAAAGAAATATTCAGGAGGTGCTATGTCGCTCTAGAACTTCTGTGTCTGCTTGGAATAGCTTCAGAAGTCAGGTCAGGACTTGAATAAAATTATGTAAGCTACAGCTTTGCTTTTCTCTGTGCTAATGCTTTTAATTCTGGTTTAGAATTGATCGAGAACTAGACCAAAGACAGGAATAAGCAAGCTGCTTCTAAAGAGCTGCACTGTTAATGATTGTCTTGCTGTAGTTTCCTGGCCTGTGGTACAAACTGTGTCTCTCCCTCTTTTTAAATTAGACAAGAAATGGAGTTGCCACTGTGAGAAAAAAGAAGAAAATGGGAGTAGCTAACATCACATTTGATCTATACAAGCTGAACCCTAAGGATTTTATTGGCTGCTTAAACATCAAGGCGACCTTCTATGAGATCTACTCTGTCTCATATGACATCAAATGTATGGGAGCAAAAAGCGTGTTGCGGTAAGTATGTTTCCACTACTGATCAGGCATATGCATTCATGTAAAATCTGTTTGCTGATTGGGTGAAGCAGGTGTGTCTATAAACTTAGTATTTTTATCAATTCTTACATACTGGCCAATATGCTGACTCTTGCTTTGTAACGTGGATAGCTTACTTGTAAAAACTTACTGTAGCTTTTTATGGTGGAATCTTGAATTTCCCCCAACACAAAATCTTATCAGCTTGTACTTACTGCTAGGGTGTAGGTACAGTCTCTTTGTTTCCCTGAGAGAATTTGCTCAGATTCCTTTGACTTGATTGAAGAATGTGGGAGGCTGAGGAAGAAGCATTGGACTCTGAAGGAGGTACTTCAAAGGGATGAAATGAGAGAGGAATTTGAGATCTAATGGCAGAGGTCTTAAAGCTTGCTCAGACTTTGCAATACTTGGCTGCCAAATTCACCAGCAGAGCTACATGAAGGCAAAGGAAAATGGAAGAGATACGACACTCTCTGCTGTCTTAATGTGAATTTGTCCTATGTGGTAAGACTGTGCTATGTCACTGTTTTTAAGCCAGCTGGTCTCTAGGCAAACAAACGGAGCCTGACAAGGACCACTGTCTCCTGTGGTGGATCAGTCTGTGGTGGGTCATGAGTTTCGTAGAACTGGCTGTTGGGAAATGCTGTCTTATGCAGGGGTGAAATAATACCTATCCACTGCTTTCAGCAGTGTGTTGAAAGTCTGCACCTTGTCAAAAAGCAGCTGTGTCCTGCCCTGGTTGAAGAAAGCTGCTTCTGAGTTCAGACTCCTTTACAGAGGTGCCAGACTTTGACAGCTGTTTAAGCTGGCAGCCTTGAATTTCTCTACCTGACCTTTCAAATTCTGGTTGAGACACAGCGGTGTAGCGTTTCTGCATTGTATTACTTGAGGATCAAATCTGCTCTGTACAGAACAGGCATATGTATATGCCTCTAAGTGAGGTTTTCACTTTGCCTGAGCAACATGTAGCCTTTAGTTCACAGAATCACAGAATGGTAGGTGTTGGAAGGGACCTCTGTGGGTCATCTAGTCGAACCCTCCTGCCGAAGCAGGGTCACCTACAGTAGGCTGCACAGGATCTTGTCCAGGCGGGTCTTGAATATCTCCAGAGAAGGAGACTCCACAACCTCCCTGGGCAGCCTGTTCCAGTGCTCCGTCACCCTCAGAGGGAAGAAGTTCCTCCTCATGTTCAGACGGAACTTCCTGTGCCTCAGTTTGTGCCCATTGCCCCTTGTCCTGTCACTGGGCACCACTGAAAAGAGCTTGGCCCCATCCTCCTGACACCCACCCTTCAGATATTTGTAGGCATTTATAAGGTCCCCTCGCAGCCTTCTCTTCTTCAGGCTGAACAAGCCCAGTTCCCTCAACCTCTCCTCGTAGTGGAGATGCTCCAGTCCCCTCACCATCCTTGTAGCCCTCCGCTGGACTCTCTCCAGTAGCTCTTCATCTTTCTTGAACTGGGGAGCCCAGAACTGGACACAGTACTCCAGATGAGGCCTCACCAGGGCAGTGTAGAGGGGAAGGAGAACCTCCCTCGTCCTGCTGGCCACACTCTTCTTGATGCACCCCAGGATCCCATTGGCCTTCTTGGCAGCCAGGGCACACTGCTGGCTCATAGTTAACCTGTCGTCCACCAGGACACCCAGGTCCCTCTCTGCTCTCCAGCAGGTCCACCCCAAGCCTGTACTGGTGCATGAGGTTGTTCCTCCCCAGGTGCAGGACCCTGCACTTGCCCTTGTTGAACCTCATCAGGTTCCTCTCTGCCCAGCTTTCCAGCCTATCCAGGTCACGCTGAATGGCAGCACAGCCTTCTGGTGTATCTACCACACCTCCCAGTTTGGTGTCGTCAGCAAACTTGCTGAGGGTACATTCTAACTCTTCATCCAGGTCGTTGATGAAGAAGTTAAACAAGACTGGGCCCAGTACTGACCCCTGAGGGACACCACTTGTCACCAGCCTCCAACTAGACTCAGCGCCGCTGATGACAACCCTCTGAGTTCTGCCATTCAGCCAGTTCTCTATCCACTTCACCGACCACTCATCCAGCCCACACTTCCTCAGCTTCCCCAGGAGGATATCATGGGAGACTGTGTCGAAAGCCTTGCTGAAGTCAAGGTAGATAACATCCACAGCTCTCCCTTCGTCTACCCAGCCAGTCATGTCATCGTAGAAAGCTATCAGATTGGTCAGGCATGATTTCGCTTTGGTGAATCCATGCTGACTACTCCTGATAACCTTCTTTTCTTCCACTTGCTTCATGATGGCCTCCAGGATAAGCTGCTCCATCACCTTTCCCGGGATGGAGGTGAGGCTGACTGGCCTGTAGTTCCCTGGGTCCTCCTTCTTGCCCTTTTTGAAGATTGGAGTGACATTGGCCTTTCTCCAGTCCTCGGGCACCTCTCCTGTCCTCCAGGACCTCTCAAAGATGATGGAGAGTGGCTCAGCAATGACATCCGCCAGCTCTCTCAGCACTCGTGGGTGCGTTCCATCGGGGCCCATGGATTTGTGGACATCCAGATCACTTAAGCGATCCCTCACACAGTCCTCCTCGACCAAGGGAAAGTCGTCCTCTCTGTAGGCTTCCTCTCTTACCTCCGGGGCCTGGGATTCCTGAGGGCCAGTCTTAGCACCGAAGACTGAAGCAAAGAAGGCATTCAGTAGCTCTGCCTTCTCCGCATCCTCCGTCACCAGGACACCCTCCTCATTCAGCAGCGGCCCCACGTTGTCCCTAGCCTTCCTTTTGCTGCTGATGTAGTTGAAGAAGCCCTTCTTGTTGTTTTTGACATCCCTTGCCAGCTTCAATTCCAGGTGAGCCTTGGCCTTCCTCGTCGCATCCCTGCATGCTCTCACTACGTTTCTGTACTCTTCCCAAGTGGCCTGTCCCTCTTCCTGTACTCTTCCCAAGTGGCCTGCCCCTCTTTCCACATTCCATGGACCTTTCTCTTCTGCCTGATCTCTGCTAGAAGCTCCTTGTTTAACCATGCAGGTCTCCTGCCTCCTTTGCTCGATTTCTTTCTCAGGGGGATAGTTTGAAGTCTTCAGATACCCACATCATGAGAGGAGGACTATTAAACATTGTAATGCTAATCTTGTTCCCTGTCTGTCTGTCTGACCTCTCCTACTCTACTTAGGTGGTCCCTTGTTTAATCTTTCAGGCTACAGCTGGTGCGATTGTAGATGAGACTCATCTCTGGTCATGCTGCAGTAATTATCCAGCTATATGCTATGCCCACCTGTAGCACTGGCTTCATTAGGATTTCTTCAAAGCAAAGGTTTACAGCTGAACAGCTTCACTCCTCCAGTTCCTATGTTTCTCAAGTCTCTTGAGCCAGAACAAACTCTTGATTTCTGGCTGTCTGCTGTGGAGATGAGTATCAGCACTGGAACTTGCACAGTTAAGGAGAATTTGAAGTGACAGTTCTGCATCCCTGCCAACATAGGGCAGCTGGTGAGAAAGAAATGGTGCTGGTGAACAGCTGGAGTAGCTGTGGAGTTCTTCTGGAAGCACTGTTATGTTAGAGTTGAACTGTAAGGGAAGTACCAATAGCAGGGTGGGAAAATAGTCTGCTTTCAAAGAACAAGGGTGGCAGAAGAGATAACCTTGGGTACTCTTGAACACAACAGTGAGATGGCCTGTCTCAACTTGCTATTGACATTGCCGAGCCACTCTCCATAATATTTGAAAGGTCATGGCAGTCAAGCAAAGTCCCTGGTGATTGGAGGAAGGGAAACATGCCAATTTTTAAAAAGGGTAGGAAGGAGGACCCTGGGAACTACCGACCTGTCAGCCTCGTCTCTGTGTCTGGGAAGATCATGGAACACATCCTCCTAAAAGCTCTGCTAAGACCCATGGAGGCCGGGGAGGTGATTCAAGACAGCCATCATGGCTTCACCAAGGGCAAGTCCTGCCTGACCAACCTAGTGGCTTTCTATGATGGTGTGACTACATCAGTGGACAAGGGAGGAGCTATGGGTGTGGTCTGGCTGGACTTCTGTAAAGCCTTTGATACAGTCCCTCACAACATCCTTCTCTCTAAATTGGAGAAATATGGATTTGATGGGTGGACTTTTTAGTGGCTAAGGAATTGGTTGGAAGGTTGCAGTCGAGAGGGTAGTAGTCAACAGCTCGATATCCAAATGGATGCTGGTGACAAGTGGTGTCCATCAGAGGTCTGTATTGGGACCGGTGTTGTTTAACATTTTCATCAATGACAGCGAGATCGAGTGCACCCACAGCAAGTTTGCACATGACACCAAGCTTAATGGTACAGTCAACACACTAGAAGGACGGGATGCCATCCAGAGTGACCTGGGCAAGCTTGAGAAATGGGGTCTGTGTGAACCTCATGAGGTTCAACAAGGCCAAGTGCAAGGTCCTGCACCTGGGTCTGGGCAACCCCTGCTATCAGCACAGGCTGGGGGATAAAGGGGTTGAGAGGAGCCCTGTGGAAAAGGACTTGGGGGTACTGGTGGCTGAAGAGCTGGACTTGGGCCACCAATGTGTGCTCACAGCCCAGAAGGCCAACTGTATCTTAGGCTGCATCAAGAGAAGTGTGGTCAGCAGGTTCAGGGAGCTGATTCTGCCCTTCTATTCTGCTCTGGTGAGACCCCACCTGGAGTCCTGCATCTGGCTCTGGAGCCCTCAGCACAGGAAAGACATGGAGCTGTTGGAGCGGAGCCAGAGGAGGCCACAGAAATGATCCAAGGGCTGGAGCACCTCTCCTATGAGGAAAGCCTGAGAGAGTTGTGGTTGTTGAGCCTGGAGAAGAGAAGGTTCTGGGGAGACCTTATTGCAGCCTTCCAGTACCTGAAGAGGGCCTATAGGAAAGATGGGGAAAATATTTTCAGCAGGGCTTGTTGTGACAGGACAAGGAGCAATGGCTTTAAACTAAGGGAGGGTAGATTTAGACTAGATGTAAGGAAGAAATTTTTTACCATAAGGGTGGTGAAACACTGGAACCGGTTGCCCAGTGGAGGACCCATCCCTGGAAACATTCAAGGTCAGGCTGAGTGTGGCTGTGAGCAACCTGGTCTGGCTGAAGATGTCCCTGCTCAGTGCAGGGGGATTGGGCTAGATGGCGATTGGGCTAGATGACCTTTGAAGGTCCCTCCCAACCCAAACCATTCTATGATTGAAATTGGAGACAGCCAGTGTTGGGTTCTTGGTGTAGTCCGTGTCCTAATGAGTTACAAATTGTTAACTCTGATGGCTTCTCCCTGAGCCCACCAGTGGAGCGTGAAGGGAAAGGATGTTGAAATACTGCAGTTGTTCATTGGTGGGATGGGCTCAAAGCCTGCCAGATCTGATGAATGCATCTCCCTTAACAGTTTCTCCCTGTAGTGTCCAACTGAAAGATCAAATGTCCAGTTCAACAAATAACTTCCTCCATGGCTTAAGTGACAACTGCTCTCATGTACAAGTGACACACTGCAGCTGCTCAAAACCTCCATACCAGGTGCAGCTTGCTTTACAACTGTAAAGTTTCTTGACCTCTACTATCTGGTGGAGGGAAGGACGTATTGAAATGGCATGTGTATGGGAAGCATAAATAAGGGTACAGTGTTTTTTTAAAGGCTTTCCAGGCTCTAAGTACAGGGTATTCTAATCTTTTGAAGCACTGGATTTTGACTGCAAACCTTCTGTCATCACAGTGGAGAAAAATGACTTTGTAGGAAGACTTTGCCTGCTCTGCTAGAGCTCAAAGGAGAAGTGAACAGCAGCAGAGGGGTCATGGTTGCATGTTTTCTCAGACAGGAATTCAGAAAATCTTCCCCCTTTTTTGTAGAAGAGGAAGGCTGGTCTGGTTTCTGCATCGTCAGAAACTGATCCCTTTCCAGTTTTGGAATGGTTCCTTATCTTGCGTACCACTTCCCCAGTGCCTCAGCTTCAAATTTGTGAGGGCCTGCTTAACTTTTGGGGGATGAGGCTTGAGTATAGCACTCGCCACTGATCTCCCAGTTGTTTCTTGGAGAACGGAAGATGCAGGTATTACTAAGTTCAATAGCTGTCCACTCAGATGATCTCTGCTCCCCTGCGATCCTGTGGTGGTCTGTGGTCTATGTTGTGGAGCTCTGCTGCTTGCCTCATCTTAGTTTATGGATCTGTACTGGTTTTTGCAGTATTGTATATTTGAATGCTGATACTTATTAAAGCTTTAAAAAATAGAACAGTTGTGAACTGAGAATTCTTAAGGCTTGCAGCTTGGACAGTATTAATTCGCCTGGCTTCACTTGTTTTGCTGTTGGGCATCCACTGTAATGTGATTGCTCAGCTTCAGATCTAATCAAGTTTGATCTGTAGCTTGGAGATACATGCAGTGTTGTGTTAGTGAATGGCCTGAAGGTGAGAAGCGACATGGATTCATGCTGCAGGAACGCTGCTGGGCTCCCAGGCAAAGTTAAGTCTTCAGTGGTGCTCTGGTAGTTTGAGAGATGGCTTTGCAGAAGGCCTGTAAATGTCCAACAGGATGACAGCCTGCTTTGTTAAATCTGTTTTCTGGTTCTGCCAACATGTCAATAGTTTTCTGTCAATTGATGGCCACAGGAGTATTTGCTCTAAAGAAGGTACAGAAATGACCAGCTTCTCAGAAGTGGGGAGGAATGAGAGAGTTATTAAATATATCTAACTCACCCTAAAAGTGTTGGGGGGGATGGGGCAGTGTCACCCTGTTAGTCAAATTTTTTTTTTAAACAAATGGCTTTCCTTCTAGGAAGTTGCTTCAGCTGATATCCCATGCAGCACAAATAACTGGACAGCTTCTTCTCTATACTGGAACGTATATGTTGCAGTTGATGGATGAATATGAAGAAAGTGGCACGTGTACAAGATCAAGGCGGGAGTAGTGAACACAGCTGCACTTCTGGTATCGGATCCTTTCGCTTAAAGACATTCTCTTGCTCGATTTTTGATTGTAATGAGGTTATAGGAGGGGGATGTCCACTGATGTGAACTAACATTTTTCCCATTTGGGAATGCTTCTAGGCCTTAGTCAAAAAGTAAGTGTTTGGTGTTCACAGGCTCTTAACACAGCAAAAGGATGGGTGCCTAATGCCCCAGAAGTCAGCAAAAGGACAGAAGGCAGGTTTTTTCCCAGCAGCTCAAAATGGAGAATAAACATACTTGGAGACTTGCGTGCTTTGTAACCAGTGAAATATTTCTTGCACTGATCAAAACATAGTTTGGTTGTTTTTTTCATGGCTGTCTACTTGTCCTCTGAACAGACTGGGCTGTAAGGGTGGGGTGGAGGGGCTGTGTTTTTTTTGTTTTAATCCTCAACAGTGCTGCTATTAGTGTCCAACTGGCATTGGGGTTCAAAGGTTTGAGTGTACTTACTCTTCCTGAAACTGGAACTACACAATACAACTGAATCCTGGTTCAGTGACTGACTACTCTCATAAAGTCTGATAGGAGAAAGTGCAACTACTAAGCAGAAGCTTAAAATTTAGCCTTACTTCCTTCAAAACAAGTAAAAACATTTCATTATAACTTTTCTTCAAATCTACAGAAAGTTCAGGTTAGTGTGGCTCTCACCAGTTGAAGAACCTGATGTATGTCTTTAATGGGTCTGATGTCCAGGTCTGCCTGAAGTATTGAATAATTTGCCATAGTTTCATGAATATGGCTTAAAGTAACCTCCTGAAGCTTCCCGTGGGGATTAAACCATCACTTCTGTAGTTTTTACTGTTCAGTTACAAGATGACACTACACCCCAAGTTGTACTTGAGGTACATGTAAGAGATGCTGGATTTTGATGCCCCTGTGTTCAGGGGAGAGCAGCAAGACACTGTGTGGTCCTGTGTAACATACGTATGCTCTGAATTGGATGTTGGTGGTTTTATAGTCTCCCAAGACAAGCTGTATTAAAGGGCAAAGTTTTTAATCCTTAGGTAGAATTTTCTACAGTTCAGTGAACAGCTAGCATGATGAGCTTCCAGCCAGATTGCCCTCAATGCTGTAGAAAACTGGAAAATGAGCAGCGTTAGGCATCTTGTGTCAAAATACAAACTCCCATTGCTGAAGGGAAAAAGCCCAACTTCAGTTGTTCATCGATGTGGCTTTTTGAGGTTTCATTTGCTTGCTCATGAAGAATTTTACTAAGTTGTAATATTCTTGCTTAAGACTGAAAGCTGTTAAGGAGATGGCAGATACAGGTAAATGTGTCTGACCTGATGGCAGGTGTCACCTAGGAAGAGAAGCTCTGGTGACAGAGTGAGCAAGTGGGGCAGGGGAGAAAGCAGTGGGAGGGAAAGGGACCAGTGTGGACCCCACAGTGCTTGCCATGCCTCTTCTGAGACAGGAATCCACTAACTATGCATCAACTGCACTGATTAGCTGGAGGAAAACGTAGCCTGCTAAAAGAGAAGCAGGTGGACAGAAAAGGCCAAGCATCATGGTTGGTAGGATCCATTCTGACTTGTCAGCTGGGTATGTTCACTTCAGATGTCACTAGTATGTGGGAATATTGGTCTCGCTTTTATCCTCAAATTTCACCTTCATATGTTTATTTTTGCCTTCCCTTTATGGATGAGACTTAGCTGGAGCTCCATCTTTCATATCACTGTTGTGATGAAAAGCAGTCTAAATCCAAGTGTTAAAGGCACTGATGGACACAAATTTGGTAGGTCTCTGCCTGCCTCTTCAGTAATGGTATTAGAAATAAGAAGACAGCTAAGAAAAACTTTTTCTTCCTGATTTCTGTTGTTTCTCATCTACTTCTGAGTGTTTGCTGGGGGAGGGCACACTGCTCCAGACAAGGGGAGGACTGGTTCTTTCCTAATTTCTCACGAGGAAGAATGCCTGTAGCTTGCAGCACTATCAGGTTTCCTTCAGAAGAAAACAATAAACTATTCTGTGAGTAATGAGAAAGAGTTACATTATAATGGAAGCTTCATACTTAATCTGTATTGTTCTTGACACCCCAGCCACCCAGATGATTGTTGCCATGATAACTGTTGGCCAAAGTCTTTCTACTCCTATCAAGGAATTGCATTTAACTGATGCAGTGAAAGGACTCTGCCATTAATTCTTTCAGCTTCTAAGAACCATTTATTCTATTAAAACAAACACACTTCTTGAAAGCAAACTCTATGTAATGCACCTAAGAATATCTATGTTGCTAATGGTGGGAGCACCAACATTAAAAAAACTTGCATAGTTCAGTATTGTTTTGTGTGGATTGCCTCTTCAACACCTGTAATACAAAAGCTTTTGCAAGGCTGAACTGTGTAGATCTCAAATTCCAGCCTTCTACAGCCAGAGGCAATTGCTACAGAACTAACACTCCATGGTTCCCAGTGGCACTATCTGAGAACCTAATGTGATCTAAAACACTAACTCAGTATGAATTTGCAGTGTTTTTTAAGCAGCTGCTTCTCTGGCAGCTTAACACTCAAAACTTGAGCTGCTGAAGGTCATGTGAGCTGCAAAGTCTCCATCTCGGAGCATCTCCCTCTAATTCAAAATGCAAACAGCTGAAGAAAGTAACTCAGCTTTGATATTTTCTCAAAATGAGAGAAGCGTCTTGGAAGTTGTGTCTCAAATTGTTTTGTTGCTTCTGAATCTGGGTTTTGCCACAGGCTTGGTATTCGGGAGATGATATTTGCTACTGTACCAGCACATTTCCAGAGATAAAGTTTTGGCTTTGTGTCAAACTGGAGGAGTTTCTCATTCTCTGAGTTGGAACCAGTTTGTTGTTTGGGTTTGTTTTTTTTTATTACAGACTGCTTAGGAGACATGTCTTTTACTTCAGCTGTGTGTAGTACACAGCAAAGAACAACTTCTGCATTAGCTACCTTTCAGAAAATTATATGCAAGTAGTGTGCAATACCTAGCAAGAGACAATAAAAGTAAAAGCTCAGGCTCCTAACTGCAGGTATGTCGAGAAGAAGCTAGCTTTTCTACTTGATGTTTTTAGCTTTTATTTCTCTTTCCATAAACTCAGTTAATCTGCACTTGTTGCAGTCAAGGCTGGTAGCAGTGACGTGTCAAAGGTGTAAAATGTGTTTACTGCCTCCTTGTTTGCACTGGCCCTTTTTGCCTGTTGCTTTGCATCACTTACTAACAATGCACCAAGTCATACTCTCTAGTTACCAAAAAAGGAATTTTCACTGAAGTACTCGATCTTGTTGACTCAGGCACTGGTCATGTTCTGCAGGCAAAACAAAGTTGCTCTCTTCATGACTAAAATGAAGAATCTAGTAGCTTTTTGTGTGTGTGTAATTTATGATTACTTCATTTCCTTGCTTTCATAAACCCATGAAGTTGTTGCTTTCTTGCACCTTCCTATTCTTTGAGGAGGAATAGGATTACAACCTCTCCTGTCCAGGGGGAGAGGAAAAGGCAGGGTCTAAATTCCGTAGAGCATATTCCAAATGGTCTAAGAAACACCCTGAATTGCTTCCTTACAGAGAAAGGAAGCATAAAGAAAGGAAAACAGGACTTTGAGCTGGAAGTTTTTTCAGTACAATGAGTAGAGAGGTAGGTGTTCACAATTTAGGAAATGTTGGTAATTCTGAATATTAACTGTGAAGATAACTACATATGATAATTGATAACTGATGAGAATTTTATCTAAACTGTTTCAGCATGCTTCTTCCTGAGAAAGCACTTGAACTAAAAGCACAAGCTTCTTCCATTAAAAATAAAAATGTTTAGAACCAAAGTACAAAGTACATTTTTTACTGGGTGCTTTAAGTTTTACTGGATGTATTAATGTGATTAACATACCACTTCAGTTATGTATTAGTAAATATCCTTGTGGGGTTTAGAGTTTATCACTGCTTTCTCTACCTTACCTTGTCATATATGCAGTTAAGATATTTATAAACATGATGACTACTGTTTTGCTAAGGGAAAATATAGCATTTTACTACTTCACAATTTTCAAGCTCAGTAGTTTAACTTGCTGTGAAAACTGAGATGGGTGAGAATTATGTGTCAGTGATGGTAATATTTTCTGATGTGTGGTGCCAGTTTTAAGGGACACTGTCCGTGAATAAAATCAAATGGTAGCTTTGGACATTATCTCTATTAATTTCCAGAATAACTTATTCCTGAAATAATCGTGAAGGCTAATGGACCTATGGTCTGCCACAGACAGTTTCCAAATGCTGGACTGCGGCAGTGAAGTAACTGGATACTATTATGCGGCTCTGAACTCTTTACTGCTAACTCACATTCTGGCCTCAGAGAAACTGTGCAGACTGTGTTTCCTTTTGTACAAAAGGAATTCCTTCCTCCATCTTTTACCAAAGCTGCAGAAGACTACAGACTGCCGAGTACAGGAGACAGAAGGCTTTGGCAATCTTTGGCTTTCACTAAATACTGTAAGGATCAAGGACCTCTTTTTGTAATGCCTGATGAAAACTCCCTGCGGTCATTTACCCACAGATACAGTAATACACATTTGATTGCAGGGAAATAGGAATTTAGTTTAGTGAAAGATTAGATTTGTCTAGTTCAGGATTAATTTAGTCTTCAGGAGGAAAAGCATGCAAGTATGGTCAGTCCAGTGCACTTCTATCTAATAAGTGTGTCCTGTACTCAGCTTAAGGGACAGTTTTGCAGAGCTTAACTATCGAGCAATTCACATCTTGTGGGAGAACCAAGGTTTAATTTCTTGCTGTGGAAAAGCACAAAATAGCACTGTATTGGGTTTAGCAGCAAGGTGTTGGCAGTGGTGGGCGGAGGGGTCCTGAGGGGGTGGCCTATATGAGTAGAGACCAGCGCCTGCCTCTGCAATGTAGAGAGCTGGCTCCAAAATGAACCCAACATTGCTCAAAGCTGAGCCCTTTAGCCAAATCAGTGGTGCCTCTGTGGAAGCATACTTAAGAAAGGCTAAAAAAACGCTGTGCAGCAGCTGTGAGACAGGATGAGAAAAATGTGAGAGAAACAGCCCTGCAGACATCAAGGTCAGAAAAGGAGGGGGAAGAGGTGCTCCAGGCACTTGAGCAGAGCAGCATGTGGTGAAGACCGTGGTGAAGCAAGTTGGCCCCCTGCAGCCCATGGAGGACCACACCAGAGCACGTATACACACTGCAGCCCGTGGAGGGCCCCGTGCCACAGGAGGTGGACATGCCTTGAAGGATGCTGCAGCCTGTGCAGAGCCCGTGCAGAGCAGGTTTTCGAGCAGGGCTTGTGGC